CGGATTTGGTTTCAGGGAGACATTTTTAGGTGTCTACAATTACGTAGGGTCATAAACTTATTTCAAATTAGGAAAGTATAGTGTGAATTCGAATTCACGATGAGACAAATACGAAATATAATTTATTGGAAAATGCTTATAAGTTTTTTAATATGTCATTTTTTGAGATATAGGAAAAAGTTTATTGACATTTATTTAGAGTCATTAAAATTTTCATAAAATTAGAGGACATATATTAACATCTGGTTGGGTCGATGCTCAATGAAATGGATTTACCCAATAAATTGTTTACCTGATTACTGCCTACAAAAGTAACATACATATCACAAACTATTGCATTGGGTTAGTCAAGCCTGACAAAATAGTTTGTGTGGCGGAAGATCGGAGATGACGATGACAATGAAGACGACGATGACGATGATGACATCAATGGTAGATCTCCTTATCTCCCTATAGGCGATGATGATGATGACAATGACGACATCAATGGCAAAGGAGAGAAGCGAGGTCATTCACGGCGGAAGAAAGAGAAAGTTTAATTCTCGGATTTTTCGAAAAATGCCAAAAAAATCGAATTAGGACTTTCTTATGTGATGTATTATTGTTGAAATTGTTTGTCCCATATGATTATAAGTTGAATTGTAAGCATTTTGATGACAAATACATGTATTTTGGTTGAGAAATGAGCAGCTTATATTATATCCATGACCTTTAGTACAAGCTCTTCAATGGAAGTTCTGCCATTGTTATACATATCATCAAACAAATTATACATATCATCAAACAAGTCTATCCTCCACCAAATAATTTATACACTAGGTTAAAAAACAAAATTGGCACCGGTTCAAAACCCCTTAATGCCACCGGTTTGAACCGGTGCCAATGTGGGGGGTGCCAATAAGTGGTTTAAAAAGCCACCGATTCAAACCTATGGCAAAACTCAGAATTGGCACCGGTTAACCAGTGCCATAAATCCCAAAAAAAAAAAATTAATCCAATGTTTTTGGCACCGGTTAACCGGTGCCAAAAGTGCCAAAAAATCAATTTTTTTTTGTCTTTTTTTACTTAAAAATTAAATAAACTAAATTAAAAGAGAACACAAAATATAAATCGAACATCACAATCAATATAATCGAATCTGTTCAATATATATATATATATATAACCAAAAAAGTTTTACAATATAGATCAATAAAAAAAATTACAACATATAAATCAAAAAATAAAAAATTACAACATATAAATAAAAAAAATACAATATAAATAAAAAAAATTACAACATCACAATAAAAAAACCCTATACAATATCTAAATCAATATGCTTGCATCTTGATTCTTGCATCAATATACCTGCAAAAAAAAATCGATTAAAAGAAATTACAGTAGCTGCGAAAAAATATTAAAAAAACCCATAAATAAAAAAATTAGTTAAACACCCAGAAAATAAAAAAAAAATCGAATTAAAATCGATTAAAAAAACCGATTAAAATAAAAACAAAAATCGAAAATCAGTTAAAACCTAGAAAATAAAATTAAAATCAATTAAAATAAAAAAAAATTAAAATCGATTAAAATAAAAAAATCGATTAAAACAAAAACCCAGAAAATAAAAAACAAAAACGAAATAAAATCGATTAAAATAAAAAAAATTGAATAAAATTAAAAAAAAACCCAGAAAATAAAACGAATTAAAATCGATTAACATTAAAAAAAATTGATTAAAAGATCTATTAAAAAAACAATTAAAATCGATTAAAAAAACAAAAACCCAGAAAAAAAACGATTAGAATCGATTAAGCCTCAATAATTTTGGATTAAACCCTAACCTTGCTCATGCATGTATTCGTGGTGGTCTTGGAGGTGGTGGAAGTCGGTGTTGCATGTGAAAGTGGTGATCTTCGTGGTAAAGGAAAGGAGAAGTAGATGAGGGAGAAGGAGATCGAGAACGAGGGTTTGATCGGTATCAAAAACCCAGAAAATAAAAAAAATAAAAAAAAATAAAAAAAAAAGAAGGAAAGAGGAGGAGAGGAGAGAGAAAGAGTAGGAGAGAGAAAGAGAGAAACGACTGAGAGGAGGAGAGGAGATGTTAGGGTTGGGGTTTTGTAATGAGCCGTTTTTTTTTAAATACTTAAAGCCACCGGTTCACAAAGGCACCGGTGGTAGCTCACAAAAGCACCGTTTCAAACCGGTAAGGCCACCGGTTTGAAATGAACCGGTGCCATATGTCATGGTTCATTAAGCCGCGCATTTTTTAGCCCATTTTTGCCACCGGTTTGGAGTGAACCGGTGGCAATTAGGGGGTGCCTTTTTAATTTTTTCTACTAGTGATATCATCCAATTATCTATACATATCATCTACTGGCTAGATGAATTACCCTAGATAAATGATATTCTCTATTGGTTATATGATATTATGACTGGATGATATCCTCTATTGGCTAAGAAATATGATATCATCTTGTTGGCTATATGATATCATGGGTGGATGATATCCTCTATTGGCTATATGATATTATCCAGCCATGATATCATCCCGCTAATAGAGGATATCATCCAGCCAATAAAAGATATCATTCAACCAGCAGAGGATGTCATCCAGCTAATAAAGGATATCATTTAATCAACATAGGATGTAAAAAATCCGCTGGAGTGACGAAACATATTATCAGTCCGGACTGACGCAATACCTTCTCTATATATATAGGAAAAATTGTCATGATTAATTCCAACATTGCCTCATCTGCTAGTATTAATCCATATTTTGAATTTTTTTATTAATCTAAGCTTTATATCCCATCTGCTAATCACACTCTCAAGTGACTAGTGACCGATTAGGGAGGTAATTTTTTTAAAATGTAATATACACGTGTCAGCATGTGATTAGTAAAAACGGGATTACAAAAAACCTCCAACCTAGCCAACAAACCCGCCAGCCCATAGCCACCCATGGACAACCCCCTGCCAGCCCAGCCCCCTTCCCCTAGTGTCGGCCAAAATGCCCAGACCCCCTTCCCTTCCCTTGGTGTAGACGTTGCCTACCACACTCCGTGAGTGCAGTTTTGGTTTTTAATTAGAGAATAAAATTTAAACTACCACTACTTCTTATTGGTGGTGTTGGTGAGCGAAACTAGTGATTCGGTGTGTTGCGGTGGCTGAGTTGTTGGCTGCTGCGTGTCCAGCGGTTGTAGGTTGTTGCGAGTTGGTGGTTGTTGTAGTGCGGTGGCTGATTTTCTACTGTTGTTGGCAGAGTTTGTAGTCCGTCTTTGTTGAGTGCGCAAAATGCAAGGTGGTATGCGTTCGAGATGTTGCTATAGTAGTGAGGGAAGTTGTGCCGTTGGTGGCGGGTTTGTGGTGAGTGGTGACAAGGATGGAGGTGGTGGGTCATTGGTGTGAGTTGGGAGTTTTTTGGGGAAGGGGAAACGGGGAGGTGGACAGGGAGGCGGCGAGCCGGCGATACAAAGGTATGGGAAGTGGAGGGAGTGGTGCCGACGTAGTGGACTGCTGGCTGGTGGCTAGTTGTCGTGGTGGGGAACCAGAGAGGGACAGGGGAGGGGAGGAAAGAGAAGGTGTTTTTTTTTTTTAAAAAAAAAGAAGACTAATATTTATTTTTTTAATTTTATTTTTAAAAAACAATCATATGCTGACAGGTGTCTTGTAACCTGTAATATTAGGTTACATGACCGGTTGGGAGTGTTATTGGCTAACGGGGTATAAAGTTTGGATTAATAAAAAATAATCCAAAATAGGGATTAATATTGGTGGACAAGGCAAAGTTGGGATTAATCATGGCAATTTCTCCTATATATTAATCATGGCAAAGTTGGGATTAATCATGAAAAAATAGGGATTAATATTGGTGGATGAGGCAAACTAGGTTAGGTCCCGTACCATGCACGATTATTTTCACTATTTATCATTAGTTTAACGCTACATTTAATTACAAAAAAAAAAATTATACCTGAGCTAATTGCAAAATAAATGAAAATTTACTAATTACAATAGAAAAAGAAAATTATATCATAAGAAAAAGAGGGAGGAGTATTACATGCTCAACTAATAATATGGAGTATTAATTATTGATAAAAAAAAAATTATTGCATAGTATTAAATAAAACAATATTCCGTTGTTTTAAGTTGTCAAAGTTACCCTTAAAAGAGAATTTTTACATAGAAATTGTTGAACATATACATACTATTTTGTTTGATAAAAATATTAGAGTAAAATTAAAATTGAATGGAACACAATTATTTGAGAGACCTTTTATTTGGGTAAATATTCACATTTAATTCTTGTCAATTAAATTTTTTTGTAAATTAAGAAATATATTATTTGAGAGATGACCATGAGTATTTTAGGCTAAATCCATTATAGAAATTAGAGAATATATGTTGAAATAATCACTCTTCCTATAATTGATTTGCTACATAAATTCTTGTTGCAATTATTTTGCTTCTATTAAGGAATTTTTTTTTTTTTTTTTTTTTAAATCATAGCTACTATTAAGGCTATTTACATTTTAATTGATTCTTTTTAACCTCATTAGAAATCTATTTAAAAAAAAATAAATTAAAAAAACCCTAAAATAAAGGACACATCAAGAGATGATACGTGTCATTGCTGATGTATCTTTTACAAGGTTATTGATGATATGTGGACTACTATTGTATATTATCAAAGTGGGGAATAGTTCAATCATCAAAAAGAAAAAAAGACCGATTAATAATGTGTTGTCTTATTGGTTAAAACTAAGAGCTCGTGTATAATAAATTATACGAAATAGTTTATCTACACACTTCAAATTACGAATATGAAACCAAATAAAAACTTGAACTAACTTCACTATTATATATAGAAAAAAAAAAAGTCCATCTAAAAAAGAATCTAAAAAGAATTTTTTTTTAAAACAATAAATAAAATAGCACATTCTAATTGGTAACAACAACAACAAATCCTCGTCTTAGCCAAAATTCCCACCCTCCCATCCCTCCCTACCTTCTACTCCTTCGGTCCTCAACCCATATATTTGCACTTTGTAATTGACAGATGTCTTCATGTCATCCTTTCTAACTCTCCTCCCCCCTTCCCCCCTCACCCCTTCCTCTTTCTCTCTCCTCCAATTCTTCTCTCATTTGTCAATATAAAAGTAACACCATTTTCTTCAAACTAGTCATCTTATTTCTCCATCAATCAACGTTCATCCATTTTTCTCTTTTTTTTTTTTTATAACAATGGTGGTTTCATCTCATCTTGCATTAGACCAATTCATCAAAACATGCAAACCAATTAACACAAATAACACCCTTTTTCCTATTGTAATCCCAACTATAGACTTAAATTCTCCAAATGCTAAATCAATGATCGTTAAGGCGTGTACCGAACTCGGCTTTTTTAAGGTTGTTAACCATGGCGTTCCTACTCATATGATGACACAGCTGGAAGACGAAGCTCGTAGTTTCTTTAGTTTGCCTCAGGCTCTCAAGGAAAGTGCTGGAAGTCCTAACCCTTTTGGGTATGGTAACAAGAAAATTGGTCGTAATGGCGACGTTGGTTGGCTTGAGTATCTTCTACTTTCGGCTTCTCCTGAGTTTATTGCCCAAATTTGTCTGTCCATTTCTCCTGATAATCCTGATGTTTTCAGGTTTCACCTCGCTCTACTCTGTTTTCCTCTGTTTTTGCTCAATCACAATATAAATATATATGTAAATACTACCTTTATGTGTCAAATCGTTTCAAATAATATGAAGCAGAGTTATATACCATAAAAATGACTACTAAGACCAATTTTGTAATGACACGTATGTTCAGGTGTGCTTTAGTGAACTACATAGCAAAAGTGAAGAAAATGGCAGTTCAAGTATTGGAAACAATGGCGGAAGGATTGAATCTAAAAGGAGAAGACAGGAATGCTCTGAGTAAGTTAATAAAAGACGACGAAAGCGACTCGTATTTCAGGCTGAACCATTACCCACCAAAGCCTGAGGCATTTGAAGCCATTAGTAGTGGTAGAAATTTGGTAGGATTTGGCGAACACACAGACCCACAGATCATCTCTGTTCTTCGATCAAATAACATTGGAGGCCTCCAAATCTCTGTAAATGATGGAAGTTGGGTCTCTGTTCCACCTGATGATAATTCCTTTTTCATACTTGTTGGTGACTCTTTGCAGGTAAACCAACCTTCCTATCTGCTTCGCCTATTCTTTGTTTTATATTCGGGAATTCATGACTGAATCACGCCACAATCAGTGTACTAATCTAGTTGTACCTTATATTATAGTGTTATGTTAGAGTTTTGTTTGATAAATGAAATTGAAGGTTTCATAAGACAAATGGATTAAAATGGCAAAACATTTAAGGTGGAATAGTGATCATGGGATGTTGGATATTTGATAGTGAGGTCTAATTAATATGGTAGGCAGTCAAAAATTATGATTAGAACAATCATTATAGGATGGAGATACATTAAGTTTCTAGCTAGTTCAAATTCTCTTTGTTTTGGGTGTATCTTTCAAAGACCTCTTGTGCTATATTCCCTTTGTCACGTAAATTGTGCAATCCTTTTGCAACCTGAACTTGTGAATGTGTGATTAAGAAATTGACTATAGAAAATACAAAATATCAAAAATTAAAATAAAAAACATAAAAATTAGTTAAAGGTTATTAGTTGTGTCGCATCATGTCAACTTTAAAATGGTATAAAAGTAAAAAGAAAAAAAAAAGAGGGAAAAAAGCTAGTGTTTTACGACATTAGAACATGCAACCTACTAAGTCATTAAAAGTTACTTTATAAACACGCAAAATATTTCATATAATTTTTTTGTTTTTTTGACGATAAATTTAATTTAAGTATTCTTATTTACTTTTCCTCTCTACACAACCTAAAAGCAACTCTAAATTTGCCCTTAGAGACATATAAGTAGATTTGGGCAGTGTTTTAGTGGGCTAACTTATTAAAATTTGTACTCATTAAAATTGATTGTGGCTTAAATTTGTACGGTCATATTTCTTTGGTGGAGATGTGAAGAACAAAATTAATGTGTTCAAACTATACATTTATCGGCTGATTTGTCGAAATTGAGTGTTCAAATTCATAATTCAATAATGAAATATTCTAAATAGTTTTGACGGCTAAAAATTTGTCAAAATTGAGGGGTCAAATTCATAATTTAATAATGACATAATTTTATTATATTTACACAAAACGATCACATGATGAGATAAAATAATAGTATTCATACTACATTTTTTGACCAGTGGTAAAATCTAGTATGGATTTGGACAAGTTCCATTAAAAGTGAAAAAGTTAGTTTGAAATTCTATGATCCTATCCATTTGTGTACTTGTTTGGGAAGGTACCAATATAATATTGGTGTACTAGCTAGCGTCATGGTAAGGTTCACAAATCATGTGTTAAGGTTTGTGCAATTGTTTACATGTATGAAAGGTGACATTTATCCGCACCATAATTCCTTTGTTGACTTAGATGTTGTGGTTTTTGTAGATGTCACATTTAATTAGTACGATTTGAGTTTGACATCAGACATTTTTATTCATAGATACATAAGAATATCAATTTTAATTACATAGTATTAATTTTAGAGTTGATTTGTATTGTAAAATATCTCAATCTACATCGAAATTAGTCTTTTAATATCAAATATAATTTACATAGGAGCCAAGTATTATTGGTTTGAGTCAAAGTTTTTGTCAAACTAGATATCGATAGTACGGAAAAAGTCCGAATAACATTTAAACATTCCATGACTAATACTATGTGGTCGATGTCAAAAGGATGGAATGTCCTTATTTTTTTTTTCTTAAGTTTTTTCCAACCTTATCTCATTTTAAGAAAATAAGTGTTTATCCCGTATGAAATATCTAAGTTATTGTTTTGTTGGTTGTAGGTGATGACTAATGGAAGGTTTAAGAGTGTGAAACACAGGGTTTTGGCTGACAACAAGAAATCAAGATTATCAATGATCTTCTTTGGGGGCCCACCTTTACGTCAAAAGATAGCACCTTTACCTTGTATTATGCAACAAGGGGAAGAAAGCTTGTACGAAGAGTTCACATGGTGTGAATACAAAAAATCAGCTTACAAATCTAGGTTGAGTGATAATAGGCTTTTACGCTTTGTAAAGAGAAGAATTATTTAGTAATAATGTCATACGTATGTATTAGAGTTAATTATAGTTAATTATGGTGGTTAAGATTTTGTAAGATACAACTCGCAACGATAGTCATGGTAAGTTACTTTTACATAGGAAAATATCAAATTAACAATCAATTTCTTGAGTAATTATTGTCTACTCTTGAACTTGTCTAGTACGAAATATGTGTTAAGTATATAACATTAAGGTGTTTGGTTCATCTAATTTTGTTTAAAGTTATATTATATAATCAAATAGTATATTATTGCGTTTGAACTTGGTTCAATTTATATTATCTTGTTTGAAATAAAATAAGTTAAAAATAAGAAGAAACAATAGACCTTGCTTTTATTGGAGGAAAGAAAAACTCAAGATCGCTCTTTGATCCTAAATATCTTAACAAAAATTAACTCATTTATCGAGCTATTATATGGAAATATAATGTGTTATCTTTTTTCTTTCTTATCATCCATTTTGCTATTTTAGTTATTACACCTATAATATTTAAAATACAGAAAATGAAGTTTCAATATACTCTTCCATCGTGCATCCCTACCTATATTGAATTGACAAAGACATGATAATCCATTTCCTTTAAAAATCAAAATAATTGACCTTATAGAGTTATAGTTCATTGATCCAATAGCTATGAGCCAGATAATTGGGCAGTTAGGAATAAAGAGGAGGGCAAGGGAATCTCCATCCTCAAACAGCCTCACTTAGCTTAGCAAGATGCAAACCCTAAACTTTTAAATCTCGAAGATTTAATGTGAGAATCTTATCAAGGGAGTAAAACCTTGCTTGTTAGAATAAAAGGTAAAAAAATCGTGTAAAAAAAAAATGAATATATGTTAATAGTGTGATTCAAACTTTCAAAACTTTACTAGTCTAACTTTCGAAAATGAAAGGAGTATGAATTGAAGGAAGAAAACATGTGCAGTAGTACACAATCAAGGATATTTGTGATTCATGCCATGATGTCAAAAAGGTGAAGGAAAAGGATAGGTTCAATAAAAGGAATTGACTCAAGCAATGTAATCAAATTAGGCGCGTATTTTGTTTTGTACCCCCAATTTTTTTGTGCAATTTTTTTTTTGTGGTTTCCAATGTAACTACGACTAACTTCCCTAGCCTTAATCCAATAATGTAATATCATCAGTTGATCAGATTATCATGTGGTACGTATTGGTAAGTTGTCGGGAGAAAAGGCTGTATAAGTATTAAAAATTTATCAACCTCTTGTGGTTCTAACGATAAAGAAGTTGGCACGTACCATACATTTCTTGAAATATCAATTTATATGGGCAATTTTTTGAGGGTTAGAGATCAGAATTTGGCCCCTACTACTACACTTTGTCGACTGTGAGGCAAGTACAGTACCATCATGGATCTTTTAATTTTGGCCTACAACCAGTGTTCATAGAAGGGTCACACTTTGATGGAGTCGGATTTGATAAGATAATTGTTAGTTGTATAAATGTTATGTACTATATCGACTTGATTGAGTCTGCTTATAATTACGTACGAGACTAGTATTCTTTGTTATTATTGATTGGTATGATATTAAAAATATTTATACCTGTCAAAGTTATATATATATATATATATATATATATATATATATATATATATATATATATATATATATATATATATATATATATATATATATATATAGGAATTAGGAACTAATCTGGTGCGTTGATCGTTTTTGATCCAACAGCTAATATCCTACCTGCGTTTTTCATTTCAGTAATGGCATTTTGGTATTTTTGCCAAAATGAATGACCTCTTTTCTTTCTCTCTCTTTTCCATTCATTTTCTCTCTCTACGCGTCCTCATTTTCTCTCTATAACATCGATTTCTCCGCCGTGGATTTGAGTTCTTCGTCTTTGCGAATTTTTTTGCCCAGATTTTTCGATTTTGATCTTTTATTACATCGTATTCTTCAGTTTTTTTCATTCATTGAGGTAATTTTCTAATTATATTTGTATTTTGTTTGTTTATTTTGATTTCGTTGTTTATTTTGAGCTGAGTTTTTTTGATTTAGGGTTTTTATTGTAATTTTTCTTAATTTTTGCTTATTAATTGTTATTTGAATTATTCTATACAATTTATTGTTTGATTTTGGGTTTTATTTTTACGATATTGGTTTTTAATTCCTATTTTATGGTTTTACACTTACGGATTCAATGTAGTTGTTTTCTGCATATAGTTGCTATATTGCTTGCTGTTATTAATCTAGTAGTATAATTTATTGTTGTTTTAAATTTACTTTTTGCATTCAGTCATTAACTTTCCATTATTAGTTTTACTTAATTCTCATAACTTCATGTTTTCTAGTTTCTTCAAGTTTTTTTTTATTTTTTTTTATTTACTTTATGCTTTGAGTCATCTACTTTTTAGTATATCTCTAATAGTTTTTATTAGTATATTTTTTAAAAATATTATTTACTTTTAGTTATAGTTTATTTACTGTTTATTTACTTTCTCCTTCTATTCATTTACTTTTCAGGAACATGTCTGAAAGCGTAGAGCATATATTTTTTTTAAAATATTGTTTACTTTTAGTTATAGTTTATTTACTTTTATTTATTGTTTATTTACTTTTTCCTTCTATTCATTTACTTTTCAGGAACATGTCTGAAAGCATAGAACATTGTTCTTTTTCTGTCACTACTGAAGATAACAATGTAAGAATTTTTAAAACACCCACTCAGCCTTTGCTTCCTAAAATATATTATAATTCTGGAGGTGATAAAGAGTATATGCCATGTTCTTCTGAAAACAAACCTTTTGTTGGAATGATATTTGATACCCTTCAAGATGGTATTTCCTTTTATTACAAATATGCTAATGAGTGTGGATTTAAAGTTCGTTCTAGTACTACTAAATCACATAAGAATAAGAATGATCCTACTGGTAAAGGAGTTACTATAATTAAATATTTATTATGTAGCAAAGAAGGGTATGTGACAAATAACAAGTAACCTGGTAAAGAAATTGAAGGTGCTTGTTTAAAGAGAAAGATTGTGAAGAGAGTTGGTTGTCCTGCTAAGATAAAATTTAGGTTTTGTACCGGTAGGAATCATATGGTGTATTGTTTATATGAATATCATTCTCACCCTTTTTCTACACCTATTACTAGGCAGGTTACTAAACATGAAATTGGTTTAAATTTTTCTCATAAGAAGTTTATTTTTGACAACTCAAAGTTAAATATAGGGGTTGTTATGTCTTATAGGATCATGAAAGAACTTTGTGGTGGGTTTCAAAATGTCAGGGGCAGTAAAAATGATTTCAAAAATTTTTCTAGGGACTTGAAAGTTTATATCTCTCATGCTGATGGTGCAATGTTTGTTCAGAATCTTGAACAAAAAGTGAAAACCAGTAAAGGGATTTATTATTTTGATTACTGTGTTGATGAAAGTAGGCATTTAACCCGTGTCTTTTGGGCTGATGCTATTGGTAGAAGAGATTATCAATTATTTGGGGACTCTTTATCTTTTGATTCTACCTATGATACAAATAAATATTCATTGGTTTTCTGTCCTTTTACTTGTGTTGATAATCACAAGAGATGTGTTACATTTTGTGTTGCTCTATTATCTAAAGAAGACATAGATTCTTTTGTGTGGCTATTTGAAACTTTTTTGAAGTGTATGGGAGGAGAACCCTCTTGTATTATCACTGATCAAGATCCTGCAATGGGTATTGCCATAGAAAAGGTTTTTACCAAGACTAAACATAGGTTATGTATGTGTCACATAATGAGGAAGGTACCTAAAAAGGTTGGAACTGCTTTTTGTAATGAAACTGATTTCCTGAAAAAGCTAAGTGCAGTAGTTTGGGATAGAGAGATTGATCCTCATGTATTTATTGATGGCTGGAATAGTGTTATGGAGGAGTTTAACCTTGTTGATCATGAGTGGTTTGCATACATGTTCAAGATTAAACATTTTTGGATTCCTGCATATTTTAGGGACCTATTTATGGGTGGGTTACTGCGTTCTACATCTAGGTCTGAAGGTGAAAACAATTTCTTTTGTAATTTTACAAACCCTCATATGACCTGTGTTGAATTCTTTGTCCGTTATGAAACTGCTCTTGATGCTCAAAGGCATGATCAGGATGAGTTGTACAGGCTTAATAAACTTGAGCCTCAATTGGTCACTAATTTACACTTGGAAAAGCATGCTGCTGTTGTTTATACTCGTTCAATATTTTATGATTTTCAAGAAGAATGTCAGGAAGCCTGTTTTCATGTGGTGTTGAAAGTTGTAGTTCTCTGTATGGAGATGGTGTGGAGTTTTCTGTTATTGTTGATCATGAGAAAAGGAAAAATTTTGATGTAAATTTTGACTTGGCAACATATGAGTCAAGTTGTACTTATAGAATGTTTGAGAGTCAAGGTGTTTTATGTAGACACATTTTGTTTGTTATGAAAGGCAAGTGTATACGAGAAATTCCTGATGCTTATATCTTGAGTCGTTGGAGAAAAGATGTTCTGAAGAAAGCTTTTGTCATAGATGTTGCTCTGGATGATGCTTCTAAGTATGATAAGAAGAAGCAATTGGTCGGTGATGTATGGTCCAAGATTTTCAGTTGTGTGAGTTTAACTGATCAATCTGAGGATGATTTATCTGAGCTTATTAGGACATTATCTTCATTTGAGGAGCAGATGATATTAAAGAATAATCCTAAAAATGCACCTAGTTCAAAAGAGGTAAAAGATGCTGATATTCAGGTTTTGGTTGGGTCAAATGAAGTTGATGTAAATGTCTTGCCTCCAAATCAGTGTCTTAATAAGGGTTCTGCCAGAAGTTCAAAGAGGTTGAAGAGTGCAAAAGAAATAGGTACTGAAGAAAAATCTAAAAAAGGTAGAACTTGTAGAGCTTGTGAGCAATCTGGTGTTTCCCATGACAATAGAAACTGTCCAAACAAGTAGTCTTTCAGGTATTTTAATCTTAAGTGTGTTCTATTTAATATAAAATTCTATTTATTTACTTTAACAGTAACTTCATTTACTTTTTATTTTGTGCAGGTGTTATTATAGTTGGTATTTTTTTTATTTGGTATTTTACCTCTTTACCTTTTTTTTATTTACTTTAAGTTTTAATTTATTTACTTTACATTCTAATTTATTTACTTTAATTTGTGACAAATAACTGATGTTTATTTTTGTGCAGTTATTTTAATACTTAAAAATTAGAAGATGTTTTGGAAGATCAAGATCAAGATTTAATGAACAAATATTTTTTATTATTTTTATTATTGTAATATTTTTACATTTACTATAAGTAATTGTACTACAAAACTTAAGTTTAGTTTGTTTACTTTTAGCTATTATACTTTAACTTTATGAAATATTCCATTTACTTTTATCATATTTTATATCATATGAATTATTTGATTTATATAATGTTCTTACTTACAAAATTAAAGATAATTGCTTGTATTATTCCCTTTGTCCTAGAATACTTGTTACCATATCCATTTTTTGTTCTAAAATACTTGTCACATTTTTCATGGAACCCGAGTTGACAAGATAATTTGATACCGATTTTGAACATGAATTGACGTGTAAATGAGCTAACCCAAATGTAACCCATATATTATTGACTTGGTGATTTCAACTTGATTATAACCCGTAAAATTATTGACTTGAACCAAATTTGACTAAAATTCTAGATTGAATTAATTTTCTAACCATTAATTATTGACTTTACTTGAATGTAATTTGACCGGTTATTAAACTCACCTAAACTTGTACCAAATCTAATAAGATGTAAGGCCGGTTGTAATTCGATCAACATAGGCCGGATGTTAGCGAGGCAAATGAAATAGGAGACTTGACCCATCCCCAGTTTGTTGTATGATCACATTCGAGTTGGTTAAACACTTCAGGTCAAACACTTCGGATCATGTTCGGGTTGGTTAAACACTTCGGGTCAAACTCTTCGATTCAAATTCGAGTTGGTCAACTTCAGGTCAGGTGAGTTCGGGTGTTTTTTCAATATTAGGTCAACTCCATTTTCGAGTCGGTTATAGGCTGGGTTGGGTTAATTTTGGGTTTTTTGTCATTATTTGGGTTAATGATTTTGGGTGAATTTTGGGTCATGCGTCGGGTCATTCGAGTTGGGTCAACTATTATTACTTGAATACTTTTATATCCCATTTCTCCCTTTACTTTATATCCATTTTCTATTAATTTAACTGTATTTTTTTGTACTTAAAATTGAACACCTTATTTCATAAAGTTTTTTTAAAAACTTTTTTCCTTTTACTTTAAATATAGTATTATTTACTTTAACATTTTTTCATTTACTTATAATCGAATAACATTTTTTTGACTTTAATACTTTTTTCCATCTCCACCTCTACTTTTAATTCATTTTTTTATTACTTTAAAAGTATTTTTCTCTACTTTAAAATCGAACACCACATTTCAGAAAGATTTTTTTTAAAAAACTTTTTTCATTTACTTTAAACACATTGTTATTTACTTTAACACTATTTACATTTACTTTTATATCTTCCATCATTTTTGAGAAAGAACAATCCTAGTAATTTAACTTAGATATATAATATGTATTCTTTTTTTTAACACAAACTGGAAATATTATATTAAGTGGCTAAAGCCATAGTTTTAATTACAAATAGCATCACAAAATTTTCACATTTATAATTGATGCTAACCAAAATAAGGTCTAATATTATACTAGAACTACGAAATTGCTATAGAAGTTGTATAACTTGAAGCTGCACCAGTAACTTATCTTCAACCACTACTTAATAAAAGTTTTGCATTAATACTACACAAGTTCAAGTACTCTAAATATCTATGATATATTCAAGTCTACTAATATCATTTACAGTTGGTCTGATTCTTTCTTTTCTTCCCAATCCTCAACATTTGTTATCAGCTTCTGTTTCATTTGATTTCTTTCATTAAGAAGTAGGTCAAGCACTAATATTATATGATGGTGATTCAGTCTTGCAAAAACCTGTAAAAAAAATAAATTATAAATAAATTATACTCTAAGTATAGATTAGTTCTAGAGTGTAACGACTTCAAAAATAAGTATGGTAACTTACCTCTGTTATTGTTCCTAATCCTATGCCATTTGCACCATCATAAACCTTCATATGCAACAGTAGATAGCTTGCTGAGAAATTATCTTCTCTTTCTTTTTGGAATGGAAGTTCAATTATTCTCAGCTTGTAGGTCAGCATATCATTTGCCTGTGGATGCTTCCTTTTTTTAAACAACTTCTGTACTTGTATCACCTGAATGCAATGAATATTAGTATAATAAAAGATATTGAAAAATGAATTTAAAGATAACTTTTTAATCCATTGATTCTTTACCGTTTCTAAGATAAAACTCTGTACTTGCTCATATTCTTCATGTGTCTCATACAAAGTGTTGTCCAGATGATCAATTGTTTCATCTTTGAAGTTTATCACAACAAGAAAATAATGATCTTCTAACATCAGAGGTATATACACCTACATATAGATTTGTTTTTAACATATTTACTTTAAACCTGTTTTTAATTACTTTAAACATATATTGTTCTACTTTAATATTAATTCTGTCTTACACATTGATCTGCATCCAAGTCCAATGATTGTGAAGTGTTCCAATCAATCCATGGTTTTTGTAGACTTGTTACTCCCTTTTTTCCATGGGCTTTCAAACACATTGTTAAAGCATCCTTCCAAAGAAAAAAATTCAATTATTATTTCTAATATTTATTTGATGCATAATTCTAAACTATAAAAGTTAATTTGAAAAACTTACCATGAAGTCAAATCCAAAAAAGTATTTGATCAAGTAATTTTCAGACCTATCTTTTTCCATTTCAATGTTATTCAGGTGGTTTGACCAAGCAGTGATCACATTACTTGAAACTTTCCATTCATTGAGCAAAGCGTTACAATTTTGCCTTACTATTTTAATTGAATCTATAAACCAGCCAACTACTTCGCTGTAATGTAGAGTTAAAGTTAAACTTATGTCAAACAATATTATATATAATGCAATATAATTATTTGTTTTTTAGGAAGTCTAAAACATACCTTTTGTTTGGAAAGTTTTCATTATCATTGATTGCTAAGTAGTCGATCACTTGGTAACATTGCAAACTCATGTTATCCATTACTTCCTTGTGTTTCTTCAAGAAATTAGAAACACAAATCATATCTTCTACCCCTTTCTCCTTCTCTAGTTTTCTAACTACCCTGAACCTTGAAATTTTTCTCAGAAGTTGTTTTCTTTTGGTGTTTATGTCTCCAAAGCAAGAGCAGCACATATTTCTGCACAATACACCTTTCTCCTATTTGCTAAATCAAGGTCAGAATCAAAAGTCTCTCTAGAAAAACACAGCATATGGATCATTGCAAAAACACCATAATCAAGAGTATATGTTGGTGTCTTCCACTTGAAGTTAACTTCATCAAACTCATATTCAAGAATTTCATCAACTTTTTCATGATTAATTCTCTTCAAAAAGTTTGACATTTCCTCCACCTTTAACATTTGTAAAGCAATATATAAGTAAAACAAATTTATAGTATAAATTAGGACATCTTTAATTTATATGATTTACTTTAATAAACATATGATTTACTTTAATTAGAACATCTTTTACTTTATATTTTATATTATATTTTTTATAGGTAATAAAATGTGTACCTTTAATAGATATCCTTTAACTTTAATAAAAATATTATTAACTTTAATCAGATCATCTTTTACTTTATATTTTATCTTATTTTTTAACTGTCATTATAATCTATACTTTTAATACATTTTCATTTATTTTAATAGTACTTTTATTTACTTTAACAATTTACTTTTTATAAACCAAAAAAAATCTTACCACAATAGATCTAAGAATTTTGTAGAAAGGCTTGTGCATGTCATCATACTTCCTGTTATCCAAGTACTGAATGGTCTGATTCATAAATTTAACCACTATCAACTATAGTGGTTACTCATAAAGATTGGAACAAAGATCTGTCATTAAAATTACAGTTATTAGTTTACAAATTCAAAATCATAATTCCATACAATGTTTTTTAATAAACATGAATAATAAGACATACCAATTGAGTTGTCTTAATTTTCTCCTTTGCATCACATAGGCACATCCAATCATACCATGCCTGATTCAATTCTTGTGAGTGTACTGAAGGAGACTTCACCTCTGTTTTTTTATCTGTTGGCTGGGAAGCATCTTGTGACCTGAGAGACAGCTCTAGAGGTCTTTGTGTATTAATGAGAACATACAAAATATTACTTTATGAGATCATACATATTTAATTATGATTGAGCTTAACAGTTTTTTTAATTCTTACACTATGATCAATGCCAAAGAAAAAGCATAAAGGATCTTCTTTCAATCGAGAATCATTCATTACAAATGACCAACATTGAACTATATTAGATTTTATCATTTGAGCAGGGGCTGTTGGAGCTAGGGATGTTGTGTCATCTCTTGTTATCATGAGAAGACTTTCAACTTTCCCAATCTCTTCACCGTGCAACATTAAATATTTATAGTAAATAAAATATTATTTAAAGTAAACTAAATATAACTTAAAGTAGATATAATATGTTTGAAATTAAATAATATATTACTTACTATTTGAATGGGTTGTACTTCACAAAGTAGTAATCATCCACTACTTGAAAAAGTTCTGGCATTTCATTCATTCTTGATTTGTTTTCTTTCATTGTCTTAGAAACAAAATCAATGTCAACATCTTTCTCTCCACAATCTAAATTGATTTTAACTTTTGAAACTATCTCATTGTGAATGTCCTTAAACTCAATTGTGGATGTTTCTGCCTGTAGTTGTTTTTCAGCAACAACTGTAATAAAATAGCAGATATAATTTTAATATAATGATACACTATTGACTATTGATTGATTAATAT